AAGAAGAAGAAGAAGAAGAAGAAGAAGAAGAAGAAGAAGAAGAAGAAGAAGAAGAAGAAGAAGAAGAAGAAGAAGAAGAAGAAGAAAACAATGCCCGGAACCTTTGATCAAGAGGGCTTCCGATGCCAGCTGACAAGTCCCACATTTTCCAGGAGCAGAATCTTGCCCAACCATTCAAGCTCTGGTGATACAAAATGGGCTGCATTCAAAGGATTCCCCCCCTTTCCTTAGTGCCCCATGGAACCCCTTCTCTTAGGGGTGGACGCCCAGAAGGAGATTCCTTTCAACTCCTTTTCCAGACTGCAAAGTGTGAAGTCTTCAGCAGAGCCTTTTCTGCAGCCCAGGCATCTGCAGAGGGGTGGGGGCGAGTGTTAAAATGGGTGTCGCGATGTCACAAGGCAAACTCTACCCCTTACATGCTTGCATCTGACCTTGAGACACAAGTATGCAAGGGCAGGGTTGGCCTCGTGGCAGTTACGTTCTGCTGCCTCCCAAGAAGATTGGTTTGAAAGCCATTTTCAAGCAACCTGTGAAGAAGGTGTGTAAGAGCACAAGTCTCTTTCACAGGGTGAAGACTAAGAAATTGCAATAAGCGTGAACCAAAATAACATTGCTAGCAGAAAGCACACCCTTTCCACTTCCTTATGGCTCCACCTAGTGGGTCTAAAATTTGGGTGCCATTTCCATTTCAGCTGCAGTCCTCTTTTTGAACACGGGCAATCAAAATCATTAGATCGATGAAAAATTACTTTGGATAATTTCCAGTTTAGTTGGCACCCAACACCCTCCCAATCAATCCTCTATCCAGATCAGAGCCTCCACCCATACCCTTCAGATCATCCTGCCAAGATATAGCTTGATGTCTATTTATGAAACATCAGAATATTTTTTTAAAAGTTAACTAGCAAAATGGGTCAAAAAGCAGGCAAAAGGAAAGACAAAGTGGGGGGGGGGGGGGGGGGAGGGAGCAATAGGTAAGAGATAAAAAAAAGCAGAGGAGTTAATATCAATCTACATTATTTATATATACTGATAAATCTATCATTAAAAGCAAGGACTTCGGAAACAATATTACAGGGAATTACCATGAATTGCAAAAAGTCTTGGAAGGAGAGATTCCAAAAATTCCAAGAGACTCCACCTTAATGAAGTCACTAATAAAAGAGGGGTGGAAATTTCTCTTGTAGTTTCCAAGAATCTGGACTGACTTCACCCTAATTCCTACATTAAAACTCTTTATTGAAGTCTATGTGACTCATTCTTGCTTGACTGGGCTCTGCAGGATGAGTCCTGAGAGGAGACTGGTGTAAAAGCATTTCACTTCTTAAAACTTGCCAACCCGCCCAAACAAGACTGATTTTCCCTATTTTGGGAATGTGTTAACAGGTAACATGGAAGACTTTCTAGTCATCCCTTAAACTCCTACCTCTCCCCTCCAAAAAAAACCCCTCCTGAAATGGGGAGTGGAGTTAAGATGGTGATAGGGAAGGGCCCCCTCACAGATACTCCCTGACATATTTTATCAATTATCTATTTAGTTCTTCTCTTCTCTTCTCTTCTCTTCTCTTCTCTTCTCTTCTCTTCTCTTCCCTTCCCTTCCCCTTCTTTCCCCCC